CTGAACACCTAAACTGGGAAAATAACAGAATATACACATCAAAAGTGCCTTTTGGTTTCCAAGACGAATCAGTGTAGAACAATCATTGTAAAAACAGCTGCACTTTTGATTTACAACTACTCTGTTAGCATCCATGCAGGTGACATAAAAATTAACTTATCAAAGAATAAACACCAGGTTGTTTAGTAAGTCTGAACGGGGCTGGGATTGTAGCACAGCAAGGTGAGCTGTCTGCTAACACATCTGCGGAGGCGTCAGAAGCAGCAGAATGTAAGCCACGTTTCAGGGCCCCCGCCTTCTCTGGGACATCCAGGTGCAGTTCCTGACCCTTGGTTTAGGATGTGATCTAGCCCTGGCTGTTGCAGCCATCTGGGGAAGAGGCCACTAGGTAGAAGCAGATAAGTTTCTTTGTCTCTCTCTCTGTGTAATTCTTCCTTTCAGGCAAAGCAATAAGTATTTTAACAAGACAACTAAGCAACAAGAGAGTTAAGAATTTTGTGCCTAATTGTGTTAAGGAAGTTACACAAACTCAGACTTTCAGGAATTTAGTATAGCATTCAGAACCCTTCTTTGAAAATTGTTGCATTGTGATGAAAATTGAATATTGATGATCAGTATTGAAATAAATGAAAGGAATTACATCTGAATACTTGTTCTGCTTCATAAAACAGAATATAGATAACAGTGATTTTTGAAGCAAATGTAAACTTTGAATTTGCAATCTCAAATTTAGTTACTCTAACAATAACTAGGGTTTGCACAGAATAAAGTCCTCCTTCACAGAGAACGTTTAAATTCCTTATTAAACACATTGCCGTAGGAGTTGAGATTCTTAAGTTGTTCTTTGGGCAACAACAGATTGATGTTCCGACTTAAACCTCTCTTGTTTTTGGCCTTTATCTTTCAAGGTCTTTCTTTTTTTCCTTCTCAATTCTTTCTCTAATCTCAACAGGTTAGTCCTTTTTCCTCCAGCCCAGTCTTTCCGAGATGTTCTGTCTAGTCTTCTGTCTACCTTTATCCAAATCACTTCCTAATTCTTGTAATCTGGCTTGCCTGAGATTCAATTCAAATTGAGCTGTGTTTTCATTTCTTCATATGGTGGAAAAAGGCGTGATCTGTTGGATTCTTAAATTAAGACAGGATTAGATGGCCCATTACCAGTTTATAAACATATATCTACAAAAATGATAGAGATGACATTTCATATCAGTGGGGAAAGAATTACGATTCGGTAAGTAATGGTGGCATGTACATTCAAATGTCAAAACTCATTAAATTATACCCATTAGTTATATGTACTTTGTGCCTTGGCAGTTATAACTCAGTAAACTACAAATAGCACTGAGTTGATTGATTATTCACTGAATAAATTATCTTTCAGATACTAAAACACATATTAGAAAATAATTAAATACAGTGAGTAAGAAGAACGACCAAAACAAACAAAACGACCTGGTAGATTTTTTACCTATGTTGACTAAAAACGGGGTCGTGTCACACTAGCTCTTCTCCCTCATTCTGCTCCAACCCCTTACCTGCGTCACCAGGTAAATTGTGTCAGAAATATTTGTAGAAACATTGGCGTTGGTTCACAAACATATACATGTAGGAAAGTCTTCTCGGTGATTTTTTTCCCCCACAAATTAGGATTGTAGCAGTCTTTCTGGTATCTTCCTTAGTGCACTCTAAATTGCTGCAAACCTTTTGACATCCTCTGTTTCCTTCATCTTAATGGCTGTGCAGCTGTTAGTCGTATTACAATTCAGTTAGCTGCTTCAAATTCATAAGCATTCACTTTGTCTCCAGTTCTTAATCTCGACAAATTATGCTGCAATTACCATCTTTCTATACATTCCTTAGAATGAGCTGCTTTTTCCTATGAATTCATGCTTAGTAATATTATCACCGTTTTTTAAAAACTAAAGACTTTTCTTCTGTTTTCTACAAATATTTTCAAACTGAGCTGTTTCCAACTTCTGTATCCTTCATATTCCACAGTGAAGCTGTCTGAATCTGAGCTGTCCTTTATGAGTAGTGTTTTTCCTTTTAAGCTACTTCTAAAACATGGAGTTTAAACTTTTTTGGGGGAGGGTCTCCTTTTTTTGTAAGGAAGAATATTGATTTTCAAACCATAGATTGAAACATGTTTGTTTTGGTGCCAACGTATTTTACAATTCATGCATATCAGGGGTCCTGAAAAAGTCGTTAAAGTTGGGCCTGGGGTGATGGCTCAATGGCTAAGTCCTCACCTTGCAAGCGCCAGGATCCTACATAGGCACAGATCATGTCCCAGCTGCCTACTTTCTATCCAGCTCCCTGTTGTGGCCTGTTTCTTCTTTACAAAATGTGTATTGTATTTATTTGAAAGGTAGAGGTAAAGGGAGAGAGGGTGAGGGAGGGAGGTCTTTCATCCACTAATTCCTTCCTCAAATTGCCACATCATTCGCCAAATAACCACAATGACTGCAGCTGGGCTGATCAAACTAGGTGCTTTCTCCACATCTCCCACATGAATACAAAGGACCAAGCAATTGGGCCTTCTTCTACCACATTCCCCAGCCACCTTAGCTGGGAGCTGGATCAAAAGTATAGCATCCTGAACACAAATCGGCGTCCATCTTGGATGCTGGCACTGCAGGCAGCAGCTTAACCCCCTGCACTGTGGCACTGGTCCTTGAGTTAGTTTCAGTAATTATCTTTTTCAAATAATTGTTTCATCTGAGTTTTCTGCTTGTGGCCTTTCAGTTTATTCTATCCCTTTAAACTAAAAAATGTAGGTTCAAATAGTTTATTCTAAACGTCAAGGGAAATGGCATAATAAATTAATCAGACAGCATGAATGCAGTGGAGGGGATTAATGTCCATGAAAAATGAAATTATGCAAAAATTTCAATGATTTTATAATTCTCGGGCATGCAGTACTTTGATCGCATATTTCGTGAACTCTTTGCCGTACCTATTAAACGACCGTGTCATTTCCAATTCTACGTGACTTGAAACTTCTCTTTTTTCGAGGGGTGGGGAGGCAGTCTTAGGTAAAGCATTTTCAATTCTATATTTTCATCTCACCATATTCTTTGTAAAGGGATGCTGAGAACAATATTTTTTTGTTAAAGATTTATTTATTTGTTTGATGAAGTTCAAGAATGAGAAAGAAAAACTCCCTTTATTGGTTCACTCTCTTTACGGGCACAGCTGGACCAGGCAAAGCCCCCGTCCTGAAACTTCATCTAGGTCTCCCACATGAGTGACAGGTGCCCAAATACTTGTGCTGCTTTCCCAGGTGCATCAGCAGGGAGCTGGATCAGAAGTGGAGCAGCCAGTACTCAACTAGTGCTCTTTGGGATCCCAGAATTGAAGATGATGGTTTAACCCACTGCAAAAGCTGGTCCCTGAGCTTTCCTTTATTTGTGTCATTAACCTATTGGATATTTAGTAGTATGTTATGTAATTCTCGTATTTTAACTTTTTCCATTTTTTTTCTTGCTGTGGATTTCTGATTTTGTTTGATTGTGGTTAGAGAACTTCGTATATTCTAGTCCATTGAAATCTGTTGAAGTTTATTGCATAGTAGAATCATATGCTCTGTCCTAAAAATGTGTATGGGCACTTAAGAGGAATGAATATTCTGTTTTTATTAGATGCTATAGCCTCTGAATGTCTGGTGTCATTGGCTTACAGTCTTATCTTCTATGCTGTTGTTCATCTTCTGTTTGGTTGTTCTGTCTGTTGTTAATAGTAGGGTGTGTTGAGGTCTCTATTAGTTTTTTTTTCCCTGTATTTTTGTTAGTTTTTGCAACATGAAATATTTTGTCGTGTATTAATTTCTTTTCTAAAATATAGCTTTATCCAGATATCCTATTTCTAAGAATTTAATCCTACAGAAATATTCATGTATTCATTCATTAAATTGCATACCCAATATGACATAAACAGTATTACCATGGGGATATGACAAAAAGCTTACATGTTAAAACCTTTGCTTTCCTGGAATTTACGTTCTTGTCAGTCGGGCAAAAGCAAAGTAAAGAATGCACAGTAGCCCTTACAAAGAAGTATTTTGAGATGAAATAAAGATTGAAAAATCTTTACCTAGACTGCCTCCCCACCCCTCGAAAACAGAGAAGATCCAAGTCACCAGAATTGGAAATGACACAGGGGTTCGTAAAAAGGTACTGCAAAGAGTTCACGAAAAATGCTATCAAAGTATCTGGCAATGCCCGAGACTTTAAAATGGCACGGAGTTTCTGAGAACGCTATGGAGGAGGAAGGGAGCTGCTGTGGTGAAGACATGTCAGAATGGCCACTCCTCCCGCAAGACCAGCCCCACGCGTCCTGACTTGTCAGAAAGTGCTAATCATCTCAGAGATGGTGAATCTCTGAAAAATGGGAGAGTTTTCTTTATGTACTTTTCAGTGTCTCAAATCTCTACAATGACCATATAAAAATTGGCAACTGGAGTTAACGAACATTTTTAGAAATAATCCAGATATTTAGTGGAGCTGGTATGTTTTAGCAGTCTTCTGGGTATAAAAGTGGTTGAATTTTAATCCAGGAGGAGAACTATTAGTGAATTTGTTACAATGGAGAATGATTTTGTAGTCAGTCACATTTGAATGAAGATTTGATACAGATTTATGCTTTTTGAAGATGTGATACAGGTTTAGGTTTTTCATATCTAAAATTTATTTTCAGTTACCAAGTTCAAAATCTGGTTCTCTTATGTTCAGTTAAGCACGTTTTGATGACTATCAATTTCTCTTAAGAGAATGTTATAAAAATGATGTTACTAAGTCATTCATTTTCAGTATTTTATTTAAGATAATCATTCTGCTTACTCATTGGAAAAAATATTACTTTGTATTACATACTTCTTTCAAAGATAACAAAGTATTTCATAATAAATTTTATTATATTTCACTTTAATTTTATGAATTATCAATGTAAGAATTAAGAGCAACTTAGAATTTTAGAATTTAATGCAGGAAACTATATTTTAGGAAAACAGTTAAAGGATGGGAAGAAGCCAGAGCCATGCAAACCTATCCTCAAGGTGGAATTCAAAACGACTAGATCTGGGTAAGATTTTTGCTTTGTTGCCAATATTTGTTGTATATGATTACTCAAATAGCATAGGTAGCTATTTTATCATTATTTTTAAATGCCTACTTTAAAATTATATCACCCCGTATTAAATCTTATGCTTTTTTTGCTTATTAAAAGAACTAAAATTAATAGATTTAGGATAAAACATTTTGTGTTTTTTTGTTAATTAATAGGTTTATAGAGTATATTGGGAAAATTTGAGTTATTATTCTTCTCAAACTTCATGTCTTTTAATTGTCTAATCTTTAATAGTGTTTATTCACTAGTGAAAATAAGCAAGCAATGATGAAAAAAGGATTTAAAACTTAACCTGTTTATACTATATATGTGTTAATTAAAATGAATGTCCTTTAGAAATAAAATCTTTTTGTAAAATACTACAATTTTTAAAAATCTTATTATAAAAATAAATATAGTTTACTATTGAAGGAAATCTTTGGTTGTGTTTAAAGAAAGTTAACTGTATGAAAAATGAGAATTAGGAGTTTATATATCTTATGTATATTTTTCTGTGTCAACAGTCATAGTTAATATATAATCAATAAATGTTGTAAAATTTTTCTTTGAAAATTTTAGTAAAATGCTTCTTTGAAAGTTCCACACCTCTCCAAAGGAGTCCTAGGATTTAATCTTCTAATTCCCTAGAAAATGTGTGTTTGTATTCACTACAGCTGTGTAATGAGTGGACTTCTGCACTGGTTCTGGCTCCAGTAGCATTAACTGAGGACTTATTAGAAATGGAGAATCTCAGATTCTTTGCGAGAATTCTTAGATTCTAATGACTGAACAGAAACAGTACTGGGGACTGGAGGACAATCTGTGTTTTAACTGAATCTACAGGACACTTTGAGGCATGCAGAAGTTTAGAATCATTGTAGAGTCACTGTAAATGTAAAGAAATGCTGTGATTAAAACTGGCACACGTTGGCTTTTAATTTGTTTCCCAGACATATTCACCTTAGCTCTGCTCTAATTTGAGAAAAGGCACTCACTAAAAAAAATGTCTTAAGTCTTAAAATTGCTATTATTTTCCTCTTTTGCCCTGTGTATCCTGCCATTGAGATCCAGTAGATGCACTGTGTCCAGAGATGAAATGAACTCCCAAATGTCTAGCATCTTTTTAATCGACTGTTAAAGCCCTAATTGTGTGAGCTTTGGCACGGTTACTTGACTTCACTGGAGACAGAGATGTAAAAACCTTGCTGAGACGTCTAAAGGTGGTTGTGGCAAGTTAAGTCAGATACCACTGTAAGCAAAATAGTTCATACGTTTCTTGGTTCTTAATAAATTCTCTACACGTGATTGGGGAACAATTTTATGTCAAAAAACTCTTGTGACCCTGCTGGATGTTGTTTCCCAATTCTTTCTCTAAATTAGGGAAATTTTCCCTTATTATTTCATTAAATACATTTTTAAACCCAGCAATTCTTCTGCACCCTCTGTGACTCCCATGACTCTTACATTTGGCCTTTTATTAATATCTTTCAATTCTTGAATCCTTGTTTTGGCCTGATGCAGCTCTGCTTCCAGCTTTTTGTTTGTTTCCTCCTGGTGACAGGAAATATCTTCCAATTCTGAGAGTCTTCTGCCTCTTTCATTCTATTTTGGAGACTCTGCACTGCACTTTTAATTTGCTCCACTGTATTCTTCATTTCTGATATATCAGCTTTCATTTGATTTATTTCCAGTGTGATATGTTCCTTGAATTCCTTGAATACTTGCTTCACGTGCTTCTCGTTGTTGATAAGTTTTATAACAAGTGCTTTGAATTCTGTATCCCCCATTTTCTCTGATGTCTTCCTGAGTGAACTCTGAGGTTGGCAAAGGGTTTTGCTCCTTTGCAGGGGAGTCTTCAGTAGTATTCCTGTGCCTCTCTCTCTTCTTTTGCTCTTGGTAATTGTGCTTCTGGTTATCAGATTCTTTTTCTTAGGGCAGGTTTTTAAGCTCTGTCACCCACAGGTCTACAGTTCAATTTTACTTATTGCAGTTGATACATGGCTCTTTGTTTGGAGTCACTTGTGCCACCCCCTCAGCGAGTTCCAGGTCTGGGTTCTTATGTTAGATTTCCACCATGGTCTCTGTAGCCCCAGCTCCTGGCTCACCAGTCTCCACCTCCTGTGATACCATGCTGAGGCTGCACTGTTGTCTGTACAACCTTTCTCCCACTTCTGATTGGAGCAGGTCCCAGGATTAGAGAAACACCAGGTGTCCTATACAGCTAGATTGTTGGTTGATCTTCCCGGAAGCTATTGGCTGTTAGGTCTGAGGGCCACCCAGACCTATTTTGACCCATATGATGCCAGAGTAGGTATTATTTTCCTGTTGAACCAGTGCAGTGCACTGAGCAGGGTGAGGTCTTGCCAAGCTCAGCACATGCGCAGCTCACTGTTGCCCCCTGCAGTCTTAAATTCTTTGCCACACTACAAAAACTAGAGTTCTTCATCTGCTGGTTGTCAGGTCTGAGGGCTACCCAGACCTATTTTGGGTGGAACCTGTAGGATGCCATGTTGCTGGAGTTTACTGACTCAGAAATGAGTTCACTCCCAGCTCCGTGCATGTGCAGTCCTGCCCTATAGCCCTTGCCTCCTTAAACGCTATGGTGCCCAACTCAGCTCTAGGAGGCTGACTGTGTTAAGAAATCCACTCTTTTCCCGCACCATCTGTCTGGGACCTGAGGCTCTGTTTGTGCTCCTGGTGAAATCAAACAGATGAACAGAATGAGCAGTTCTTTGGGTTCCCCTCCAGAGGTTCCGGTAAACATCGCTTCCCACCTGGTTGCTGATGGAGTTCCAGCTGTCGGTGGAGTTCAGATCGCCACTCGCTGAATGCTGCTGGGGTATCAGTCACTGCCACACCACACTGTTGTGTCTGCTGCTTTCCCGTGTCTGTCAGTCTACAGGTCCCCTTCTGCTGTTGTTCTGTCCTCTTCTATTTCCTGGGATGTGCCCTCTCTGCTTCACGCTGGCTAATATTTCTCTGTCTCTTTAATGTGTCCTTACCCTATTCCACCATTTTGATTCTCCAGATTAATCACTTCTTAACCAGGAGTCAGCCTTATTTCTCTGGCATTTTCTTTTTCTTCTCTTTGAATAGAAATCTTTCTAGAATGTAGAATTCTCTCCTATGCTTTTATAGATCAGCCTAAGTGTCTCTACCTTAAGGATGGCCTGATCTCATTGGCAATATTGTATCTTCGAGTAGTAGTTTATCCCAGTGGAGCATGCAGTACTTTTTTTTTTTTTTTACTAGAATTCACATTCATCATTTGTAATGAACATATGCCTCCTCCATTATATTTTCAGCTTGTTTAAAGTATAAGGCATACATGTCTCATTTCTAATAGTCATATTCCTAGCATGGGGTTGCTGAGTATAGGAATAGGAAGTTGGTAATGGTATAGTACAGAAAAAGTTTGAATCATTAGATGTGCTAAATGCCTGGTATATAATCTGAATCAAAAATATAAACTGACAAAAAGATTAACATGATATAAAGCTTTTCTTATTTAGTGAAGTAAAGCAAGTAAGGGTACAAGTTTACATAACTTTAGATTTAATTCATTGCCTGACCAGTTTTTAATGAAACGTCTTTAGGATCAGGTCACTTCTGTAGAAGATTTGTTTGAGGAATGGTTGTGGCAGTGGCAGTGATTGATTGGAGGAGTGCGAGCTCCGGAGCCGGGCCTTGGAGTCGTCCCTCAGCTTTGCCCTCACTCTACATTCTGGGGCAAACTAAGTTTGCTGACTCAGTGTCTCTATCTGTGAAATGGGCATAAAAATAGTGTCACGTTCTAAGAACATTGTTTTATTGCTTCTGACAAACATCTGTGATTAGGTTATTCTGTCTTTTGCTTTTGTCAAGCCTATGCACATGTGGCAAATTTGGACGAACTTAAAGAACTTGATAGTCTTTCTTAGATGGAGAGTAATCATAGATACCTTATCATTTAATACAGTGTCTTTTTTGTTGTTGTTTTTCATTTCATTTTAAGAGTTTTAGATATCAGGTAATGGTAACTCATTAGTTGTTTTTGAAAATTTTGTTTAGTTGTGACTATCCGGTTAACATGTATTCTTGGTTAAGGCTGTTTATAAGCTCATAACACTTTTCCACTGGGTTGATGGTTCCCTTTCCAAATGGCCTCAACAGCCACGGCTGGACCAGGCCAGAGCCAGGATCCAGGGACTTCATGTCCTATGTGGGTGACAGGGACTCAAAACTTGGACTGTCTTCCACTCCTTTTCTGAACACATTCGCAGGGAACTGGATCAGAAGTGCTGCAGCTGAGAGTCAAACCACACTCATGAGATTTGTGCTCCACAGGCCACAGCTTAATCCACTGTGCTACAACACTGCCCCTGACCCCCGCCCCGCCAAAGATGGATTTATTTTAGTTGAAAAACACTTTCACACATTGAAAATGAGAGAGAAAGAGAGAACTGTGTCTGTGGATTGTCAAGCTTGACTTTGAATATCATCTGCTTAACTTCACTGACCTTTTTACTTCAGAAAAATGAGAATGATATTTCTTCTTTATGAAGTTCTTCATAACACCATGTTATGTGTCTAGCACTTGAGGTGTTTGGCAGGTGGATTGTAAAGAACTTCATGGAACTGCGTATTTTAAAAATGTATAGATTTTTGAAAAAATTACAACAAAATGAAGCTTTAAATTTTAATTTGATTTTCCCAAGACTTTTTTTTTGAGGAATTACTTATTTTATTTGAGAGGTAGATTTACAAAGAGAGAGTGAGAGAGAGAGAGAGAGAATCTTCCATCTACTGATTCACTCCTCACTCACTGGGTCTATCATGTAGGTGCTGAGGCCCAAGTGCTTGGGCAATCTTGATATTTTCCTGGGCCATTAGTAGGGAGCTGGATTGAAAGTACAGCAGCTGGGACAAGAACTGGTGCCTATATGGGATGGCAGCACTGTATGGGAGGCTTACCTCACCATGCCACAGCGCTGGCC